GAAATTTTAAAATTAAATTTAGAGTTCCAATTTACATAGGTTCACACGGAGGTATTTCAATACATTTTGTTATAGTTTATAATTTTATTTTCATAATTTTAAATTCAATAATTTTATATTCATCGATCAATTTTTTAAAGTCTTGATATTGAGGAAATAACAAATTTCTCATACATTACTGAAAATTGTTCTTGTTGATAGAAGAACGGGAGAAAGAAAAAGATGATTCTGAAAAAAAGAAAAAACAAGAAAGTAAAGGTAAGAAAAGTTATTATTTTATCACACATTTCTGCTTTTTTTTCCTTTTCTTTCTGCTGGTTTGTATTTGATAAAATTATAATTTTGTATACATTGAATAAGATTTAGTAGAGTACAGTAAGAATATGGTTTGTCAATTAAGTATAGTATCAGAGTAGTGTCACGTTTTCATGTTCAGGAATAGATAAAGAGAAATTTTTACTTTACCGGTTATGTATTAATAAGGGAAAGATTTAGAATCATGTGAAATTCGACTTTTCGGGGGTTTCTGTTGCAAATCTCCACGTTTTCAGAGTACTGAAACCAAAAAAGGTTAGAAACAGAAAAAAATCCCAGGCCTGTTCGTGTGTTTATGTAGGTAAGTNGTGTGGCGATCGTCGTCCGGATCGGCTTCTGTAGGCGATGAGATGGGTTGATCAGGAGGAGATCGGATCGGGTGTAGTTCGTGAGAGACTATTCCGACCCCGTTTCGGATGGCAACCCCCTTTTTATATTCGGGATCACATGATTACAATAACCAATCGTACCTATCGGTGATGACTGTCATCAGAACTCCGGTTGAGAATCCGGTGAGGGAGGAAGTAGCTTCCGGCAGAAAAAGGATGAGCATCCGTTTAAAGATTTCGATAAGATCGCGTACGGGTTCACTAAAAATTTATGTGGCTGGGCCTATTATTTGGCCCAGCCACATAAATTTTTAGTGAACCCTTACATACACTTTGCATATAAAATCTTTTCAATTGATTAATGTAATGAATAATTTTTATTTTGAATTTATCATTTTTAATATATCTTCTGTGTGAAATTTTAATAAATATTTTATTTCTTTTCGTTTGTCAAAATTGAGTCGCTCTGAATGGGGCCAAGTAAATCTCTTTTCATTAGAATATATGTTAACTAGCAGGTGAGCTTGTCGTTGCTCGTGCAAAAAGTAACGATAGCGAAAAATAAGGCCGGATAGCCGAGCGGTCAAGGTGACATCCTACCGCTCTGGAGGACCCGGGATCGAATCCGGACGGATTAAGGAATCCCCAGGAATATTTCGGGGGAGTGGTCCGTTCGGATATGTCGGGCCCCGTTCCTCACCACCCGGTCGTCCGATTATGGGCCGGGCCGAACCCATAATAGCCCTGCTATAAGAGGCCCTCTTAGTGTCCACGGGGCGGAAAGAGTATTAGAAAAAAAGATAGCGAAAATTAAGATTATTACATTATATCCGATTTTACCTGTTTTCACCGGTTGCATGAATTAGGTCCCCCTATTCCGAGGCTAATTAGAGAATTCATAGATAGGTCTAAAAATATGTTTGATTTTCTGCAATAAGGCAAAAAACCGGATCTAAAATAGTACAGTAGAGGCCGAGTACTTCAGAGTAATCCTTAACTCTCCTCCTTTCCCCGTGGAGAAAAGTTTCTAAAACTCTTTTCCTACTGTGAATTCTCATGGCGTAGCCTACCCTGTATACCAAATTTCTGCTATTAAATCCTAACCGTTAGACTCTGTGTTTGAATAAGATTTAGTAGAGTACAGTAAGAATATGGTTTGTCAATTAAGTATAGTATCAGAGTAGTGTCACATTTTCATGTTCAGGAATAGATAAAGAGAAAATTTTACTTTACCGGTTATTATGTATTAATAAGGGAAAGATTTAGAATCATGTGAAATTCGACTTTTCGGGGGTTTCTGTTGCAAATCTCCACGTTTTCAGAGTACTGAAACCAAAAATGTTAGAAACAGAAAAAAATCCCAGGCCTGTTCGTGTGTTTATGTAGGTAAGTTGGCGTATGTTGCGTTGTATTTCGTTCATTATGTTAGGATGGAATAATTGTTAAGAACCTAAATTTGGGATGGTAGCTTGTATATAAAGAGCACTAACGTTAAATACCCGAGGTTAAAGTCAAAGAATTATAAGACGGAGAGAGGGGGTCAGGTATCACATCTCGAGTGGGATCGAACGTTTCATTTATCGTTCGCATATATTCAATTTTTGTTTATAAAACTTGTCACAACTCTCAAAATTAAGCTTTTTTTTATTTTATAATTGTTAATGATATAAAAATTTTAACATAATCATAACAAATCACTCCACACGCAATTTTATTTATTATGATTAATAATATAAAAGTTATTTTTTAAATTAAAACTCGTAACAGCAGGATAACTTAGGAAACTCGTTGCTAGATTTTTTAAAACTGAATTTTTTAATTGCTGAAATTATTCTAATTGGTAAATTAGGGACAGAAGTTTATATAATTTAATATAATCAAATAAAATATGAATTTAAGTAGATATAAAGTAAGCAAAGAAATTGCGAAATTAAATAATTTATTTATTTAAAGTTTCTCAAACTTTTCCTACTTCAGAAGCCCAAAATTATAGATAAACGTACGTAAATTGTGGGACGTTTCAGCAATCTTTTTATATATGGAAACATTCATACTGTTGAGTTTTCGTGATAAAAGATCGAGGAATGCGGAGAAAAGAACACAGACACGTGTCATATCTTCAGTGGAGTCATATTTAATGAATATTTTTTTTGTTATCGGCATTTACAATTTTTAAAAAGCTCATCTCTAACTTCAATATGAAGCCTTTCGCTTTTTCAGAGCAATTAAAGTGATATTATGTTGTAGTAAAAGCTGATTGGAACATTCCAAATCTGAATTTTTTCTATAAATATAAATATAAATATTAATTTGATATTTTTCTTTCAGAATGCATTCTCGACAACGTTACAGATTACCAGATTATTCCATTTACAATATTTAATGCGAGCCGAAGACTCGCTTTTGCACAATTTGAAGAGGATTCTGAAGGAAATTTTGACATTTGGCTGAAGGAAAGAGAAAAACCTGTTATACAAGAATATAGATTAAACGAAAACGGAACTTATGAAATTCTTAAGGAATTTCATTTCTCTGACACCATGACAGATTGGGGAATCGTATACAATGGAAGTTATTACGGTCGACACGATTACGCACACAAAATTGTTAAATACAACTTTCAGACTTGGGAATACAAAATAGGAGATAAAATTTTTCATATTCCACTAATTGATTACTTATTGTTTTGCGTAGACGAGGACAATATTTGGGTATTTAACTTAATAGATCATTATCTTTACATGATTCATGAGGCGCTTCAAATCAATCCGGAAAATTTAGAAATTTTGTCTAAGCAAACAGTTGATCCTGGAAGTTGCCTGATGCGATATGCATTTGTTGCTTATGGAAGGGTTTATTGCTTCGAAGATTTGGAAAACGTAAGGATTTCTTTTTCGTCGGATAAAACCGAAAAGGAAAATCTATACATTACTATAAATATTGATAAAGAAAAAAGTCTTAATGCTGTAAATCAGTTCTACAATTTTAAAGAACAGTATCTTTATGTACTTTACGAATCCTACAAACCCATGAGTTATACACTTCATAGATACAAATTACACTTTAATTGTTCGTCTGAAGAATGAAAAGTTGAATCGAGATGTGTATTATTTTGTTTCATTATACACTTTGCATATAAAATCTTTTCAATTGATTAATGTAATGAATAATTTTTATTTTGAATTTATCATTTTTAATATATCTTCTGTGTGAAATTTTAATAAATATTTTATTTCTTTTCGTTTGTCAAAATTGAGTCGCTCTGAATGGGGCCAAGTAAATCTCTTTTCATTAGAATATATGTTAACTAGCAGGTGAGCTTGTCGTTGCTCGTGCAAAAAGTAACGATAGCGAAAAATAAGGCCGGATAGCCGAGCGGTCAAGGTGACATCCTACCGCTCTGGAGGACCCGGGATCGAATCCGGACGGATTAAGGAATCCCCAGGAATATTTCGGGGGAGTGGTCCGTTCGGATATGTCGGGCCCCGTTCCTCACCACCCGGTCGTCCGATTATGGGCCGGGCCGAACCCATAATAGCCCTGCTATAAGAGGCCCTCTTAGTGTCCACGGGGCGGAAAGAGTATTAGAAAAAAAGATAGCGAAAATTAAGATTATTACATTATATCCGATTTTACCTGTTTTCACCGGTTGCATGAATTAGGTCCCCCTATTCCGAGGCTAATTAGAGAATTCATAGATAGGTCTAAAAATATGTTTGATTTTCTGCAATAAGGCAAAAAACCGGATCTAAAATAGTACAGTAGAGGCCGAGTACTTCAGAGTAATCCTTAACTCTCCTCCTTTCCCCGTGGAGAAAAGTTTCTAAAACTCTTTTCCTACTGTGAATTCTCATGGCGTAGCCTACCCTGTATACCAAATTTCTGCTATTAAATCCTAACCGTTAGACTCTGTGTTTATTATTATTATTATTATTATTATCAACCCATCTCGATTAGGCATATATTATAAAATTTGTTTCTATCAGAAGAAAAAGCTTTTTTTTTTTAATTTTTATTTGCCGTTCATTTCGAGATTGAAACTTCCGGCGAAAACACTCCAGTTTTTACAAATATATCTTTTTAAAATTTATCAGGAAGTAGTTTGTAAAAACTATAAAAATACATAACACATTGTAGTTTACATCAAGGAAATTACCAATTCCTAGATAGTCCAAATATAAGTAATTTCGTTCCGTTAGACAACTTTTTTCTAGAAGAAAATGAAGAATCGTTACATATAACCAAAGCTGTGAGAAATTCCTTAAAACAGTCGTAAAGAAATTCGTAATACTTCTCATTATCGAAGCGTGGAGCTTCAACGAGGATACCCATTCCCACGATGATCTTCTTTATTAGGGAAATGCTTTTCCAAAATTATCCGTGAAACTTTACCTGAAAAACTTGCAAGCTTTCCCAATTTAATTAACAAATTCTCCCCTAAGAAATATTTTCCTCTCTGGAAATTTTTTACATTTGCATACTTGCGTATGTAACTTTCAGAAAAGACATCAAATATTCGAATGAACAAGTCAGTCTTAGTTTCTTCGTAATTGATTCTGGTGTGTTTGAAGACACAGCACAACACGTGTATCAACAGAGGACATCTATTAAATTCAAAATTAAATCTACCTTCCAACAATAAGCTGTTTAATTGAATTTGTTTTAAAGCATCTTTCTCATCTCTAAACATTTGTTTAATATACTGAGCTCGTTCTACATCTCCAAAACCGTGCAACAACAAATGCATTTGCACGTACCCTTTCATGCATTCAGCGGCTTCTGGTCGACTGGTGACGAGGATCGTCATTCGAAGAGAAATGTAAAATGAATCTTCTCTAATAAATTTTAAAACAGATTTTTTGTTAGTTGTCTCGTCAAATTCATCCAGAATAACCAATAGGTTTAATTCTTCCGCTTCCAAAATTTCTTTTGCTTCTTTACGCGATTCCTGAAATAATTTATCAAGAACAGCATCTTTTACATTCGTTGTACCAAGATCGGATAAATTTATGACCACGACCAAATCGAAATGTTATACGTAATCTTTTACATTTCCATCGCAAGACCAATCGTACGCGATTTTCTTGCAAAGAGTGGATTTTCCGTATCCGGGATTTCCAGAAACCAAAATACTTTGATATCTGTTATGCTTATCGGCAAATAACTCTTGTAATTTTACCTTTTTAGTAACATTTCCTTCGAACAGAAGTGCTTTTTCCAGTGGCAAATCGAAATAGTAATCTTTTATTGGAAAATCGTAGATGTTCCCTTCGAAACAGAACGATCTCATACACTCAAACTCGGTTTGATAATAGTTTTTCACTCTTTCCTTACATGCTGAAACGACATCTGCAACGAAAAAAGAAAAGTTAATAATTTACAAAATTTAAGAAAAATTAATTTTATTGTCGAATGTATTTACCATAGAAACTTAATGTTAGTGCAACTGAAAAAGAATTTACAATACATGTGCCAAATTTTCGTTCGTTTACTTTTACCCGTGTACACGTAAGTGTAAATTACAATTTAATATGAATGCGAATTATATGTCGAATTTTACCGAAATTACCAATAGACTCTTACTTAAAAATGACAGCTCCGTAATGCTAGATATTTTATCACAAATTTTATGTTTCAATCCTGACCTGTACAAAATGAAAAAGGGAAATGTGATAAGTGCCCATTTTCTCACGTATCCATCCATGCACATTATGGAACTTCACTTTTTTGAGAATAATTTACTTTCGTTCTAGTATTTAGCTATGAGTTATAAGCCACCGCGCTTTATACACTCGAAAACTAAGTTTTTTAGAAACATCATTCTGATACTTGCCTCCTCTCGATGCCGATTCTGCTGCATTTTTCTCCTCAGTCATGCAGTAGTAATTTCTTTTTGACTCTAGTCCCAGGTGAGCAATTCCGACTTTCTTCATTGTTATATTATTTACTGATTTACTGGCACCTAAAAATAAAAAATATAAATTTATGAAATTGTTTCACATTTTATATAAAATATTATGTGTTGTCTATAAAACAATTGATTCATTGATAAATAATAATTGAATAAAAATGAATATCAGTTACATAAATTGAAAAGGCAATTTTTACTCCTTTGGTATTGCTTCTACTTCACGTGTAATTATTTCTGTGTTTGTACCATCAACAGTTCAATAATTTTCAGTAAATAGGAATATAAATGTCATATTTAGATTCCATCACCTGTAATCCAAATCTTTACTATGTTCTTCGTTTTATTTTGCTTAATAGATATATGGAATTTTAAAATTAGAATTATATACTTATTCTGTTTGGAATGCAATCTTTCTTTCATGCAGATCTCTGTCCTTAAATACAGAATAGATGCTTCAGTTGTATGAACTGATTAAAATAGCAGCAAATGTTGTCAATGAAATAACTGATAATGAGCAATTATTTATTGGGACATCGTTACAATGCTGGCCTACAATTTCAAAAGTCTTTTAATTTAACCGAAAGTGGCGTTATATAATTCAAACATTTACATTGATAAAGAAAAAGTATAATGTACATGGGCAAGCCACTACTAATTTGAGGTGTAAAGCATATATTTTAAATGAAATTAATTAAAAATATGATTAAAAATTGCAGCCCGCACTGTGATGACATCACGATAAATAAGTGCTCTTTCAATTTTATGTTGTTAGATAGGAGTGAAGAGAAAGTTGAAAGTTTTTGTTTTTAACTTGCAAATTTTCACTATTAAACAAGTTTTATTTTTTCAAAATGTATGTCACAAATTTTCTAATACTGTATTGCAGGCACAGACGTCTATAGAATGGGGCCAAGGAGGTAATTGGATAGGGTAAAAATTTCACTAGCCGTAATCGTAAAATTGATTCAGATACGTAACCTTACACTCTAGACCATGGAACACTTTGATGCAATACTCTATTCTATAATCTACTTGTGGAAAACACCCCGAAATAAATGAAATGAAAATTCATTGATATAATTTTATCCAAGCTCTCCACTGAAACTTTACTACAGACGCCGTGATAGCAGGTATGAGCCAGTGGCGTAGCGTTGGTGTCAGCCTCCCGGGGCAAAATAAAATTTTGCCGTCCCCTTATTTAGGTATCTCAATTTAAAAGACTAAAATTCAGTTTCGTCACAGAATAAGTAATGAAAAATTCCGTGCTAGTGTTGCCACCTTTTTAAAATCGCTGACTCGGAGGGCAGGTGAAGTTTGTTCGAACAGAAGTTCCTGACGCATGCGTAATATCATTTTGCAATGCGAAGAATAATGTGCAGTGCATGCCGGTTCTAAATCAGATACAGTTAGGGACTAGAGAGACTTGGATAGAAGTAACGTAAGTAACCTAGACCACATAGCTCTTTTGGATATTGGAGATGGGTATAAATACGAATCGTACAAGCAAAAAAAAATTTAAAAAATGGTCGACAAATTGCGCACGATATTGCCGAGAAAAATTAACAGTTCACCCGGACAGTGAGTGGATTCCCGGACTGTCAGGGTGGTAACACTATTCCGTGCTCATTTTAATCCGTCTGAATTGTAGGTGCGACGAAAATATGAAATAAAATAGTTCAAATTTTTACAAGATATTATTATTATTTGTGAAATTTTGTTCCCCCTCAAAAGTGTCGCCCGGGGCGGGCCCCCCTGCCGCCCACCTACGATACGCCAGTGGTATGAACTGTAACTCCCTTTCTAATATAGCACTTTCGCTGTTTGTCTGATTGTCAATATAACTTATATATTGACAATCAGCTTGATTATTATAATACATATATAATAATCATACGTGACGCCATATTTTAAGAGAAGAATCGTTGCTGATGAGAATTCACTTTTTGTCAGTATCTCTCGTGTCTGCTTAAGTAATTGATACTTCATTATAATTTCCTAATACAGCTACTGTTTAAACATAATGCCTATTCTTTTAAAGTTTAATTAAGAGTAGCCCGTTAATAATAAAATTTGTTTATAATTCTCTCTTATTGAATAATTCTCTATATAATATTTAATAAACTATTATTAATATTATATTGATAAGCTTAACCTGTGGCACAATAACTGAATGATCGTCTTCAATTAACTAAATCCTACATGCCAATTTTTACTAGGTACTAACAAAGGCCACAAGAAGCACTGTGTAGAGTTATTAATGGTGATTCATTTAGAATATTTTTAGTGCTGATTATTTAGTTCTTTTAAAAAATAAACTTCCAAAATTAGTTAAAGATTTTAAAAAATGTAACCAGTCCAGAAAATAAAATGACATTTGGGCAGAATTCTTCACATTTATTACACAGATCCATTATATATATGCTAACATTTCTTAAGTAGATTTTACAAATCACTGTCATAGGGCATAACATGTTTTAAAACCTCATTAGATTTTCAAATATATTGATGGCCTATGACAGTAGATTGAAAACGTGAAGAATTCTCTCAGCAAATAGTAAGATTGTATAATAAACCGTATTAGCAGAATTAAGCCTATTCTCTTATTCTTTATAGAAAGTCCAAGATGGCACTTCTGCGTGTATAGTGATTTCATACCCCTGACAAATAATCTTAAAAATAACATCATATCGATGAAATTTTAACTTATCAATTTAGAAACATAGTTTTAACGGCACATACCTTTTAACAACAACGATAAAATTAGCTGACTGATTGAATAAATCGCTCGGAAAATTCGTAAAATTACAGTTGCTACAATGTATTTTACGTTTAGTGTTCACCGGTTTTAAACAAGGGAACGAATCTATGGACTTTCACCTTTACTATATTTTCATTAACGGATGTTATAGTTGCAAGTACAGTTCAATAATTCTGCAATTCTCGGATATGTCTAATACGTTATTATTCCACGAACATTAATCGTTTTACGTACAGTCTAATCGTCATTTTTCTTTATTGTCATACATTTAATTTTAAGAACATGTAGACTCACATTTTCTGATTGCAAACAATAGCGTGAAAAGTGGTGAACACAATACAATAGCATAGAAAAAAGAGGACAATTAATCTATACTAATATAATAAAGAGGTAATGTTTGTATGTTTGTATGTATGTAAGTTTGGATGCAGCAGGTAATCTCCGAAACTACTCATCCGATTTCAAAAATTTTTTACCAATATTTAGAATGGAACTTCAGGATGGACATAGGCTGTATATTATTCCGTTAAACATGGGGGATGGACAGGTCTTTATGGCAAGCCTTACGGAGAAGGCTTACCGTAAAGAACTTCACTTCTATTATACTCTTTTAGATGCGGTTTTTTGCATTTTTGATTGCATTTTAATAGGGTACGTCAACAGAATGTACACTAAGAAGGGATTTTTCGATATTCCCCCCGGGGGGAGAGGGACAAGATTAAGGCTTACTGTGAAAAACTTGGCTTCTATTATACTATTTTAGATGCGGTTTTTTTGCATTTTTGATTGCATTTTAATAGAGTACGTCAACACAATGTATACTAAGAAGGGATTTTCCCCGCGGGGGAGAAGGACAAGATTAAGGCTTACTGTGAAAAACTTGGCTTCTATTATACTATTTTAGATGCGGTTTTTTTGCATTTTTGATTGCATTTTAATAGAGTACGTCAACACAATGTATACTAAGAAGGGATTTTCCCCGCGGGGGAGAAGGACAAGATTAAGGCTTACTGTGAAAAACTTGGCTTCTATTATACTATTTTAGATGCGGTTTTTTTGCATTTTTGATTGCATTTTAATAGAGTACGTCAACACAATGTATACTAAGAAGGGATTTTCCCCGCGGGGGAGAAGGACAAGATTAAGGCTTACTGTGAAAAACTTGGCTTCTATTATACTATTTTAGATGCGGTTTTTTTGCATTTTTGATTGCATTTTAATAGAGTACGTCAACACAATGTATACTAAGAAGGGATTTTCCCCGCGGGGGAGAAGGACAAGATTAAGGCTTACTGTGAAAAACTTGGCTTCTATTATACTATTTTAGATGCGGTTTTTTTGCATTTTTGATTGCATTTTAATAGAGTACGTCAACACAATGTATACTAAGAAGGGATTTTCCCCGCGGGGGAGAAGGACAAGATTAAGGCTTACTGTGAAAAACTTGGCTTCTATTATACTATTTTAGATGCGGTTTTTTTGCATTTTTGATTGCATTTTAATAGAGTACGTCAACACAATGTATACTAAGAAGGGATTTTCCCCGCGGGGGAGAAGGACAAGATTAAGGCTTACTGTGAAAAACTTGGCTTCTATTATACTATTTTAGATGCGGTTTTTTTGCATTTTTGATTGCATTTTAATAGAGTACGTCAACACAATGTATACTAAGAAGGGATTTTCCCCGCGGGGGAGAAGGACAAGATTAAGGCTTACTGTGAAAAACTTGGCTTCTATTATACTATTTTAGATGCGGTTTTTTTGCATTTTTGATTGCATTTTAATAGAGTACGTCAACACAATGTATACTAAGAAGGGATTTTCCCCGCGGGGGAGAGGGACAGGATTAAGGCTTACTGTGAAAAACTTGGCTTCTATTATACTATTTTAGATGCGGGTTTTTGCGCTTTTGATTGCGTTTTAATAGGGTACGTCAAGAGAATGTACACTAAGAAAAAATTTTTCGAAAAATTTTCCCCCACGGGGGAAGTGTTATACATTTATAATAGATACATTTTGAGCCACAACAAGGCGTGGCGGGGTCTGCTAGTTGAAAATAAAGAGAATTTAAACTTTAAAACATTTGAATTTTCTTACTTATGAAATTATTTAAAAAGATCAATATAGAATTAAAATTTTGAAAAACAAGTTGCGTAACTTTCTGGGCTGTTAGGAAATTTTATTTAAAAAATGACTTTTACGTAGTACGATCCAAAAGTTCGGGGACTTGGCTTAAAATTCCTTACCTTAAAAAATTTATATTGCCGATGCACAACCACCTTCAAAATAATCA